AAATAACAGTAGAATTCTACAAAAAAAAAGTTTTCACAGTCATTTTTATGGGAAAAGACATGTGTTTGATGGTGCACCAATGCTTCCCTCAGTCTGTATTTTCTATTTTCCTTATTTGCAAGTGAGGCAGATGCTTTGAGCAAAAGTATTTATTTTACTAGTGGAAAATAAATTAAGTAGATTGCAGAAATTAAAGTTCTTCAGCTGATACAAACCCAACAGAGTTTTATATAAGTCAAGAACTGAGTTATAGACTCTCCAAGTCGCTATCAAATAGGGCACAACCTACAGTGCAACACTATTGGGAGAAAGGATGATGCTAATGAGTCGCTATCAAATAGGGCACAACCTACGGTGCAACACTATTGGGAGAAAGGACTGTGATGATGCTAATGTGGCACTCAAATGAGTAGCAGTGAAATCTGATAAAACAGGGGCTTCACAAAAGTTTCCAGTATCAGTAGTAGTCTAATCTCAGTTTGTACTATTGTGTCAAATAGAAGTTTACACTATTTAAACAAAAATCATTTCCTGTTATGGCACGTCTGAGGGGAGAGAGTTCGGGTGCTGGCCCTGTTTCAACTGCAGATATGATATTTAGTGTAGCCTAAAAATAATAAACTCTGGAGCCAAGGGTTGGACTTTGGTCAGTCTAGCCCACCTCGCTGTTGATGAGAGCTGGGACATTAGGAATGGTCCGTGCCCAGTTCTGAATAGTAGCGAGGTCCATCACTCCGTCTTTATTTAGTTTTGCTCTCATAGCAACGGCACTTTCTAGATTACCGCCTTTGACAGCCGTCATCACCTTGTCCACAACGGCTTTTCCTTGAGAATTACCTGTGTGTCAGCAAAAGTCCCATTTTATAGTGACTGTGGAAAAACAGCACAAAGGCTAAAGTTCAGGAGACAACGTAACCAACCAACCTTCATTTTTTGTTGTGACGTCATCACAGCCGTCACGGCTGATATGTCCATCTACAGCTTCAGCGATGTCTGCTTTGAGGCCTACTTTGACACAATTTTGAAGTTGTCTCTCTGTCAGATCTGAAAGAATTGGAGAGGTTGTCTGTTTAGGAGCAGTACAAACCCACGTAATGAAAGGATCAGTGGAGACACTGTAAGTGTTCACGTACTTCTTTGTTTGACGGTGTCCTCGTTGAGGACGTAGATCAACTGGTATTCACCGCCAGTCTTTCCGTTCCTGGTGTAGTGAGTGCCGTAATCTTCCAGGAAAGCAAAGTAAATGCCCTTCTCATACTCCAGAGGCAAAGACTTGATATGCTGTATGAATTCATCAGCCACCTGGAGCTGATATGAGCGCAACCTGTAGGTGCTCAGCTGTACTCTGCCTTTGATCCGCATGAAGCTCTTATTCTGGGGGCAAACAGATGTTGATAGTGGTTATGTTGATGTTGATGAATGACAAGCCCATCATTATCTATCTACCCATCCATCCATCCATCCATCCATCATCCATCCATCTATCTATTTACCTACCTAGCTACCTTGCTGTTTTTTTAAGAATACTTGTCTTGTAAAAGATTTTGCAGTGTTTTGCAATTTTATCCAATGTTTCTTGATTTTTACCTTGATGGTGGTGTACTCTGTGACGTCCTTTATCATTGATTTCTTGCTGAACGAGCCCTCCAAACCGACAGATCCAGAAACGGTTCCAGAAGAGGAAGAGGAATCCGTAGAAGGAGCACTGGATGAAGAGCTGGACAAGCTCTGCTCACTTGGGCTTAACTTGATGTTAATTCCACCTTCGACTTTGCTGCTCATCTCTGTCAAGAGCTCCCTCAACAGGCTGTGTGTGTTCTCATAGATTTCCCTGGAAAAGGTTTCCTCCACGAGAGTCTGAGGAAAACGGTGAGTCAGTGTTTGTTTTTTAGAATCTTCACTCACATATCCATCCATCATTACCGCTAAACGACAAACACGCAGTCAACCAGTCCACTGCGTAAGTGTAAGAACAGCATCGTATTCACCTGATACTGGAGTATTCCGATGTTCCAGGGAATCCTGTCATGCTGTTCTGTGGATGGATTCTTCACAGTGTCACATTTTCCATTAAAGAAGTCATTGTTGAAGGGGTTCATACGAGGATCTGCACCAAGGATGTTGATCCTGGCAAAAGGACGTCATGGTAATGACAATACTTCACCCTCTCATATGTTTGATAAGTCCTCAAATAAACAGCTAAGGTCATGGCTTTGTATAAAACATGTCATTTTTGTATTTCTATATATTTAATATTTTGATGTGTGACCTGTAAGAATGTCACAAATTCACAAAACAAATGTTAATTGGTTAGTAGCTTGGTTTGTGCAGTGGTAAGTACTGAAGTCTATTATGTAATATATGGTCCCATTAGCTGTATTAGGTAAGAACAATACAGATTAGGGCATTGACAGACGCCTCTCATCTGGTAAGAATACATTAGTCTTTGTTTTAAAAGATCAGTCGTCTTCAATGTCCTAATTTTTGTGCCACGGACTGGCCTTTAGGGTGTGGCGAATAAATACAACTAAATAAAATTTAATTTAATTTTGACATTCAGACGCCCCCTTGAGGTGAGGCAGAGTACTGCCTGCCTCCCCTGCTGACTTTTCTCTGCACGTTCTTGTACGATCAGCATGGGCAATTCTCTCGCACAAACATTACAGACATTACACAGAGTAAGAGTAAGAGAGAGTCACGCTGTAGAACAAATATTTCTGTAAAGTTCATATTGGCGATATGCTGAGGAACAGAAACGGACACGCGTCATGCGACCCAGTTTGATCGCACAGTGAGATATGAGGCACAGCTCTCCACTTCTTTAACCGGGATTTCTGCCCTGTATTTGATCGCGAAATACTCAAATTCTAATACATGTAACATGTCAATGAGCACGATCCGCTTTGGCATCTTACTCTGTTTCCCATATGTGGACTCCTGCTGATCTGTATCCTACTGAATAAACAGGTCATGTTTACCCATATCCCGCGGTCCTGGCTTGCTCGTTGCTCTCCAGGATTCTGGTTCTGCATGGCTTGTGTGAAGGGTCGTCACAGTCTTCGTCTGATCCATCTTCACAGTCATAATCCCCGTTGCACATCAACCGCTTTTTAACGCAGAAACCTGTTTGATGAAGATGGAGGTCGAACAACAAAACCTTGGTCATTGTGCTCAGCGGTTAGCAGTCGTGCTCAAATAACAGAGAGTGACCATTCAGGGAATGAAACCATATGAATTACCTGACTCGCACTGGAACTCTGAGTCTGAGCACACAGGGTACTCAGTACTATTACATTGAGCTCTGGGTGCACAAAACTCCCTCTCCCCAAGTGATCCCTGGCACGCCGTCCCTCCAAACTGGCCGAACCTTTCAATGGTCCTGGAGCGGCGCTAAGTAGTAAATTGCATATTTTACTAAAAGTCCTCATCAAGACATCAGGTCACTGCTGTAATCAGCTGTGGCTCATCATGGCATAAATAGTCAACAAGGAGTGTCTCAGAGAGCCGCGAGCCTACAGTTTGACAACTGTGTTCACAATTAACGTCTGCTCGGATTGACTCACTCTGGTTTTCGTGCAGGGATCACAGGGTCCCCAATCCGTCCATCGGCCCCACTGACAATCCACTGGTGCTGGGTCAGGAATGTTGACTGCCCTGAAACACACAGATTACATGTAATGAACTTAATATCCGGGCGTTTGTCCGAGACAACCTGCCGAGCCCTGCAGACACATACATTCCTTCGCCAGTCAGCGTCAGTGTCAGACACAGGCCACAGAGGGCCAGCTGCAGAAAGACCACCGTCCTCATGATGTATCTGTAAGAAAGACAAATTCTGCTGAGCCCTCATCCTCTTTTCAACAGACTACCTGTTAATGATTGTCCAACTACAAAAGCATCGTGTTGTTATCAGTAGAGTCAAACGTCTGGATTTCAATATTGATTCAGGGTTTGGAAATCAGACATTTAAGTGTGTCATGCCTCCTTAAAAACAACTCAAATAACACTTCCTGTGTTTAGTTTTAAATTCTATAAACTGTTTCATTCACCATGTTTGTTTGTTGTTTTTTTCTTCTGCCACTTCTTTTTAGGGTCACGGGGTCAACAGTCCTCAGGTGAAGGGGGGGCACCCTGGACCGTTTATACCACACATGAGGACAGACGAGCAGCTGGTGCTATTCCTAAACCTCTACACCAGGCATGGGCAAAGTAAGTACCGTGGGCCAGATGTGGCCCATCCAGCTTTTTAATGCGGCCCGCCAAATTTTTCCAAATTATATAATTTATTTATATTATTGTTATCTTTGTGCATGTCATTTATCTTAGTTCACATGAACGCTCCATCTATCTGCTCCTGACCCGGCATCCCTGTTCAATTTTAGGACAATTGTGGCCCGCAAGTCAAAAGTTTGCCCACACCTGCTATAGACTATGAGACAGGCTGCTTTTTAATGCACGTTCTATGTTAAACAAACACCTCAGTCTGTAGATTGCCGTCATAGTCATTTTTAAATATATATATTTTTTATTCTTAGTCCTGAAAGTCACTCCTCTTCAATGTTCACCAAAGGCAGATCCCTATAGAGTGCCAGCATGTACTGGATGACGTGCAGTAATGCACTGATTCCACGAAGGCCGATAACATGAAAGGTCGTTTTACTGCATACATTTTAAACATAACACTTTCGGTCACCTAAAGTTTTAAAGTTTCAAAGATCCCTAATTTTACCAGAGACATTAACAAACTTCTGTTTTCCCGGATTAAGTAATCACTCGTCAAGTTTACCGAAGCCCAAGGCAAATATTGAAAGAAGCACAGTGGACTGTTGTAATACTTAAATAAAATAGTTCCATGGTGCACGGGTTCATCGTCCAGTGGAAAACTGAAGAAAAAAACAAAAACATCATCCACGTATACAGGTATTATTGGCGCTGTAAACTTAGAACAAGGCGGGGTTTGACCCACAACTCGGTAGCTTAACGAGCCTATCCTGAAGTGCTTCTCTTTGTCCGCCAGATGGCAACATCTACCAAATCTGAGTAGTATTTCAGCTGCACGTACCCATCAGGTAGTCATGCACTGATTATGTGACTTCGACAAAACAATGTAAGATCAACATAAACTGCGTCTTTATCCTACATCTGGTTGTGTAGCGTTTTAAAAATTACCTTTAATTAAAGTTAAATTAAAGCGAGTTTTTGGGCTTTTTGGGAATTTCACGCTGTAGCACATAATGACTTGTCATGTGATTTGGAAGGCTTTGTGCTGAGTCGGCACTACTTGTTTTTGAACGGGAGGCAGTGCACAAGTGATTAACCTGCATTAGGCGCTGAGACAAGGAGAACAATTCTCAGTGTTAACAAATGAATGCAGCACTGGAATTAAAAGTAAGTGAAAGTTGGAAAGTTTTTTATTTATTTTAACAATAACCAGAGAGGCACGCCATTAGGCTTGAATCCATAAATGTGCAAACAACTATGGTATTATTAAGAATTCACAGGAGAGAGTGAAGGGAGCAGTCAGCACGTCAACTGCTGTTTTTCTGCTGACTTAAATAAACAAGAGCCAACTGCCCCCTAATGGCTCCAAAGTCAAACTGGGGCCTACGCTACGTCCTCGTTCCTTCACTCTATCTGGGGCAGTCAGGAGGGGTGTGTGGTCAGAGCCTACAGAAGAGGCACAAACTATGTGCTGAAGTCATCGTTTTCGCAGGTCCGGCAGTTTCCTCCCGGGGTTCTCAGGAAACTAAAGGGTAGGTAAGGTGCTTGGCCAATATTTCTCCTGACTAGAAAGACTTCCTGCTGTTGGGGGAAGGGGAGGTTGGAGCTCCATGGTGATGTTTGTGGAACACCGTATCACTCAGAGATTTACTGCAACACACTGACACTCTAATTTCATCACACTCATCATCCTGTGACGACGTCGCCTCCTCCACTGCCTCTTGTGCTGTTGAGGCAGTTTTTTTACGCAGTATTTGAAATGGACGTGAGTGGTGACGGTGGCAGCTGAGAGTTAAAAAAAAAATCAGAGAGAGAAGAAAAAAAATCTACCTCAATTATGGAGCAGAGATAAGTAGCTATCTTAGGTTCTGGCTGTGGCAGCAGCCCGTGCCAGAAGTCACGCCCTAAATGCTTATGTTTGGATTGTGTCCTTCCCGTCATAAACAGAGGAAAGGCTATCTCCCTGAAGACTGTCCGTGTCAGCATTCCATCAAAAAAAACAAAAACAAACTACCCTACTAATATAACATCTGCAGTCTGTCTGTGTAGTCCAGCAGGAGTCTCACACTTCTTCTACAGCTGTGTTTCCCAAACTTTTTTTCTGGGGACCCATATTTTAAAAGTCACAAACCTTCGCTACCCAAGTCAATAGACATTATTCATAAATCAAAAAATAAAGGTGTATTCGACCATTATTGAGCATTAACGAGGATATTTTATCATTAACCGAGTGATATCTGAACAACTAGTATTACTTCAGTTTTAAACATAACCACAGGGGGAGCTTTTCAACCGGCAGCTATTTTGGGGTCGGATGCAGACAGCTGTTGCAATGACCATGAACTCCCGGTAAAACATGATGCGAGACAACCCCCCCCAAAAAAAACCCTCTTGCGACCCACCTGAGGGTCGCGACCCAGTCTTTGGGAACCAATGTTCTAAAGTGCAGTACTGGATGTTCACGAATCACAAACAGAAGACATTTCTACTGGGAGTTGCGAGTTCATTGCATCTGAAATTTCAGGCTTCTAGAAAAGTTCAGAAGAGAGATAATTGGGGAGTGTGGAGGAAAATAAACTCTCCTCTCGTGAATTATCTGGTTTCTGTGAGGCTCATCTCCAAAAATCCAGCCCCGGTCAGCAGAATGCAGGATACAAAGACAGGAAGAACGTCCTTCCTCTGTCCGCTTCCCTCTCACTTTTCCACTAACAAGAAACACTTTAGTGCAGACTGCACTTTTTCTACACTCGAACTGTTAATTTAAGAACGAGTACGCAGGATCAGGTGACTGGTGCATCTGGTTGCTGTATCGTGCTGGTTGGCTGGTGCTTAAATGATCGCCTGGATCCAATAAGTTGACATATTTAGCAAACGTGTTAATGATTTAGGTAAAAAATTTTACTTTGTATTGACAAATAACAACGTATTGCTAATTGTTTTAATTGTTTGCTGGAATAACTGTTAATAATCTGGTGAATTGTTTCGTTGGTATGGCAGTATCAAAAGCAAGTTTCCCAAAGACTGGGTTGCGACCGTCAGGTGGGTCGCAAGAGAATTCTTTTTGGGTCGTCTCAAAGCATCGTGTTTCCCAGGAGTTTATGAATAATGTCTATTGACTTGGGTTGCGAAGGTTTGTGACTTTTAAAATATGGGTCCCCAGAAACACAGCTTTATTGGGTAGTTAATACAGAGGGTCCTCGGTTTACGACATCCTTAACCTACGGCGTTTGACAGCAACGTCGCCATCTCCCATAAAGTTATTAAGAAAGTCCTGTTCCATCTTTCCCATGTACGGTGTTAAAACTCACCAACTAGTTCACATGTGGATTTTTTCCCCTTCTTATGGCTCTGATGATCGTCTGATGTTTTTATGTCCTAGATTAGTGACATAGGTTCTTATGTTCATGAGTCAGGGAGCTCTGACTCATGAAAAAAAATCGAGTTAGGTCGCAAAGCAAGAACGGAACTCCGACCTAAGTCGAGGACCCTCTGTGTTTTGATTGACCATTCTGTTGATCTGCAGATTCATACTGCGTTTGGATTTCCAAAAAAATGTAAATTTTAACCTTGTCTTTCTTTCCTGGTGAGATACGATACTTCATATGCAACAAGTTCATACGTCAGAGGACTGCGGTGCTGAAACTGAAGACCTGCTGATTAAACTTCTAGAGCTCTTTAGAATCTGTCTAGAAGAAAAAAATCTACAGAAGTGAAACTCTCCAGTTCACAGGAAATTGACTCACTGACATCACTACTCGTGTTGGTGCAGAACTCCGTGTTGATGTTTACACTTGTCTTGTAGCGATTAGACGTGGGCTAAGTGTATGTTTTTGGTGCTTTGCATTTTCTTTGTACACATTTTGAGCTCTTTGGTTTTTTTCTAATCACCTCGACTCCTGCCTACAGAGTTCTCCTCTTCATTATACTGAGCGGACATTGAGTGATTCCTCTGCAAACATGAGACAGAACACTTCCTGAGCCACCGGAGGATTTACCCCCCCACCCACCCTCCCGCCTGGGAACGGCATTAACCGGCTCTCGGCAAACATACAAACTGTCATTAGCGTGGCTGAATCATTAGATGGTCTCCATAGGAAAACAGACATTTATATTGAGGAAGCTGCTGACCTGTTTTCACCCATCAGTTTACTGTCATAGGACGTAGGACTCACAGCAGAGGAACTGTAGTGCCTGCTGGGTCCAAAGAGATGTGTCAGCAAAAGTGACTGAGCTTTTCCTCCCTGAGTCTCTCATGTTTCCCTCCATTGGATTTTATGTAATGATTATACTATTTGATACTATTTACAGGAGCACCTTAAAAAAATCATCTAGTACTGTGGTATCATCATGGTGGTTTTCTGGTTACCTCTGACCACTAACAATATATATGGAAAACAAGTTGAGCAACATGACATCCTTACTTCCTCTCATCAGAGTAAATGACACTTTTTACCCAGTCCTTCCTGTTACTGGCACAAAATGACACATTTAGCATTAATTATTTAAGAAATGAAGAGCTAACAAAATACTGTCCAGTTTGAAGTTTGCAAAAAAAAAGTTTTATGGAGCCAGAAAATGAGCCAACCATCCGTATCCCGGTAGATAAAGATTATTAAATTAGTCAAAAACAAAGTCAGAAATGGAAGAGCTAAAAACATATAAAGGACCCCAAAAGGTTTACCCAAACTAAAGTTTATTTCCATATGAAAAAACAATTCAACAATTTTTCAATAAATATTAAGTTTGGCCCGCGACTTCGTCCCAGTTTTTAATTTTGGCCCAGTGTGAATTTGAGTTTGACACCTCTGTTATAAACTGTCCGTGTATTAAGTTCGAATCATTGAAGCAATGCCAGTGGGTAAAAAAAGAAAAAAAAGAAGCCACTTAGAGGTCACGGGGTGTGGGGCTAAAGCCCGCCCCTCTCTCCCAGCTGAAACGAACCACAGTGAGTGGTTCACCGTTCGGGTGAGTTGGTCCCGGCTGTCAGGCAGCGAAGGGTTAAACCGAGATCTCACTGGCAGAACTTTCTCTCTGTTTCTTCCTCTCTCTCTCTCTCTCTCTCTCTCTCGCTCTCGCTCTCTGTCCACTGCGTTCAGCGGAAAACATCTGACTGCTGCTCGTTTTCCGAGGCTGTGCTGGAGTCTGAGTCATTTCTGAGCCAGAGGCATCACGGGTAACGAGCAGCAGCAGCAGCAGCAGGGTCTGACCGACACTCCACATCTCTACGTGTCTTCCTTCACACAGGTACGGTACGGTACGGTACTATTACGTCGCTGTTGTTGCTCCCAGTGTGTTTTCCATCTGCGCATCATTTAAATCGGTGCCACAGCGGCGCAGGTTAGCCATGTTCCCAGAGCAGCACTTCAGTCGCAGCCAAAGCTACAGAAATAACTACGATAACGTGCTGATAAAAGTTAGCGGTCAGTCTCCAACTGAAGTCGATGACGTATTATTTAGAACATTTAAAATGACTTTTACGTTTGTCAACATGTGTTGATTAAACGTTGATTTTTAAATTCACAGACATGGACACGTTTTCAAAAGTGACTTTTTCTGCCTCTAGGATTTATTTTTTTAAACTTTATTTCCCTCTTTGGAACAAACCAGCACAGACACAGTTGTATGGAAGTGTTGGCCTGCTCCGTGTTCACAGTGGGCCTGTGGTATTTCACCATCTCATTCACTTGCAGACTGAGTCATTCCCTGATTTCCTCCAGATGTGCACTAGTTTACGTTTCCTCACGGACCAGCATTGTGACATTTCTGCTTTTTTCTTTCTGCCCCCCCCCCCTTCCATTCTTGCTTCCAAATGTGAATCGACTCACCGATCATTCTCCTCCCCATCCTTCATCATACAGCAGTGGGTAAACTGTTATCCTTTAACTTATATGTGTAGTCAGCACTGCCTGTTTTATTAGCCCGGTTCCACACCGGCCTGTGGGATCCGAGCAATGTTTGTGTAAGAGACGGAGCAGGAACAAGTGTTGATGTTTGGGCTTCTCTCAGCGGCAGCACAACAAAAGTTTAACGTCAATGCCAAAATTCAAATTTCTTTTTTTTAAAGAAAGTAAATTTTTCTCATTATGGATAACGTGAAGTGTTATTGGCTTTACGGTGTGTACTACTGCATACGTTTCAGGCACAAGTTTCCACAACAACCGATAAACGGATGAAATGTCCGAACCTATAAACAGTTATCGGGATAATAAATAGAAAACCCTGAGAATTAACATCTGTTATCTCGTCCTGTACAGCTCTCATTCCCTCCATGAATCACATCGATGACCTGCCTGATCAGACTGAACTCTTTCTTGTTCCATATCACAGATCAACTAGAGCCGCAATTTAAATCTTTAAACCCATTTATTGATGCTTAGCTGAGCATCACGAGATCTTTTGCGTTCTGCTAGCGTAACATTAACCTCGGGTAATTGCTCAACCTTTGCCCACTGTCAACCTTTGGTCCCGTACTCACAACAACGAGAGTCTTGGTCTGTGTCGGCAGGGAGTGTGGTTCCTGGAGGTACGTGGTGTATGTGACACTTTCCGCTGGTTGTTTTGTTTGTTTTTGTTTATTCTTGTGTTCATGTGATTGTTGGCGTTTCTCGTAGTTGTTTTGTTTTGTTTTGTTTATTCTCTGATGGTAAAAACGGTGATCATTTCAGCGAGTAGATGAAGGTAAACGCTGTGTTATTTGTCAGGATCAGTGATGGGAATCGTATCTATTTATCATCTTGACATGTTCTTGTTTTGAGAAGAGTCTGGTGATGAAACGCGTCTGTTCCAGTCATTTGTAGAAAAACATGAAGGGTTTTAAGTTCACGTTGATATGATTTCATAAACTGCCGTCACGGACCACGGAGTGTGACAACTCTGTCTCGAGTTGTCTCCACCGTGCTCAGATGTTTGACTTGTATCATTATCTTGCCACTGAATACGAAGACGGTATTGCCGGTGTGTGTGGACGGTTGATGGGAAGTGCTTCGTTTGCTGTGGCAACATGTCACATGACCAGCATCATTCCTGTGATTTAACCCTATAAATTAGTATATGAGTCGTGTCTGTAACTACTATTATTATTATTACTATTTTTAAATAAGCTGCCTGTCTTCAAGAAACATTTGAAGACTCAGCTCTTCAGAGAGCACCTCCTGTCCTCCTCTAACCCCTACTCTCCTCTGTCTCCTTCTGCACTTGTTTCCCACTGGTTTCCTTTTAAAAGTTCCTCAGTGTAACCTGATTGTTAATCCTCCTCTTATAACTCGCTTTGGATAGAAGCATCTGCTAAATAATTGTTTCCCAAAGACTGGGTTGCGGCCCTCAGGTGTGTCGCAAGAGTTTTTTTTTTCTTTTTGTCTCGCATCATGTTTCCCAGGAGTTTACAGAACTTGTCTATTGACTTGACGCTCAAGGTTTGTGACTTTTAAAATATGGGTCCCCAGGAAATAAGTTTAAGTTGTAAAATGTAAGAATTTTTTGGATTTCTGTTGTTGGTCAAATTCCTTTTTGATTTTAGAGGATTTTCATTTAACTTCTGTCTGGGACTCATTCCTTTACAACTAAAAAAAAATTAATTAAAACCTCGGCTTCATCTCTGCCTTCGTGCCTTCTGTGCCAGGGTCACTGGTGGCAACAATTGTCTTTGTTTTTTCTTTTGTCTTTCGCCAAAGTTAGTTCTTGGCTAGACTAGATATTTAAAGCTGAACTGAAGAAGTTGGATTTTCTTTGTGAGGCAATTCCACTTTATAGGTCATATGTCCTGTTACTGTTCAGTTTTCTACAAGTGGAGTCTGTGGTTGTAAATGTTGAGTGTGGATAGTTAAAGGACACATCAGTGTTTATGGTCTTCACAAACCTTTCTCAGTAGATGGATTATAATCACCAACCATTAAAGCTCAACACATTGTTTGTGGTTTCACCAGCAACTGAAGGATTTCTGACTTTTTTTTTCTTGTCCACTACTCAAACTGTCTCACTTCACTTTTTGTGCTGCAGACAAATAAAAAAAAAAGAAGAATGTGTGGGTGTTAGGAGACGTCTGCCGACTTGACCTCACTGCCCCTGAACGCAGAGCTGTCGTCTTCTTTTCTCCTGACCGTCCACTGGCCCAGTGAGGCTCCCTCCACACCATGTCTGCAGAGGTGGAGAACAGCGTCCCTGCTGACAGCAACCCCGCTTCACCAACAACAGGCTCCACCTCCACCACCCCTCCTGCCTCTCCTGCCACGGCCACGTCCAAAATCCCCTTCAAAAAAGAGAAAAAAGGTGATTAAAAATTACATTTTTAAAAGAAATTATTTACAAGAATCTGTTCTTTTTTTAAATCTTTTTTTTTTTGTACAGTTCCAGAAAAAACAGACGAGTACTTGCTGAGCAGGTTTAAAGGTGATGGGGTGAGGTATAAGGCTAAACTGATCGGTATCGATGATGTCTCAGACGCCCGCGGAGACAAGATGTGCCAGGACTCTATGATGAAACTTAAGGTGTAACTTTAGATCTGATACTTGTCTTCTTGTTTTGTACAGTACATGTTGGCACAATTCTCTAAACCATGTTTGCAGTACTGCATTTTCTGGACTATACATTTATTTCACTATACGAACAAGTTCCTGGTCTTATTCTGCACCACTGAATCAGTTCATTCGCTTTGTTGCCTCTTAACCGGTGATGTTCAAATTTTTGGCTAGGTTTGACTAGTGGGCTGGTTCCAAAACTTTTAAACATAATTTAGCATGTTTTTATGTCTTTCGCCATCTAGTGGCATAAAAACAAATTCAATTCGTTGTACTGCATGAACCAGAAAAATCTCAGTCTGTCATACCTTTATTTATTTATTTATTTATTTTTTGCATTTTGTTCATATTTTTTATGGAATTCTTTAAGGTTTAGTCAGTGATGCAGCACAGGGTTCAGTTGTCATGGTGACGTCCCTGTGTCATACATATATATGTGGACTATATTTCTAGAAAAGGACCAACTAAACTACTAAGCAAAGTGCAAGCTATAGTCCAGAAAATATGATGAACATATATGGATGTAACAAATGTTAATCAGGAGTCAAGCTTCGTTTCCTCATCCGTAGTGCAACTTTTCACTGCAGGGCATGGCAGTAGCTGCTCGCTCCCAGGGCAAACATAAACAAAGGATCTGGGTCAACATTTCCATGTCGGGAATCAAAATCATCGATGAAAAATCTGGAGTGAGTTCGTCTTCACTTTTGCGATTTAGTCGATGCTTAGGACGTCGTACGAGGGTAGGGAAAATAAATCTATGTCTCTGTCACTCAGGTGATTGAGCATGAGCACGTGGTGAATAAAATCTCCTTCATCGCCAGAGACGTGACCGACAACAGGGCGTTTGGGTATGTGTGCGGTGCAGAAGGACAGCACCAGTTCTTTGCCATAAAGACTGCACAACAGGTATTTATCATCTGAGACTGGAAGAATAAACCCTTTCCTCATCATCTGTATAGCAGTAAAGAAGTACATCAATGAAACTGCTGAATTTTTTTTTTTAATTTTCATCACCACAGGCAGAGCCACTGGTTGTCGACCTGAAGGATCTCTTCCAGGTCATTTTCAACATTAGAAAGAAAGAAGCGAAAACAACACAGAAGGTAAAAGACTCAGAGAAGTTTGAAGTCAAAAGTATTTTTGTTTTTTTGGATTGTCTGTAATGATTCCCAGTTGTGTAGTTGGATAGTGAGGACATTTTCTCTCTGAAAAGTATTTTGTTGGACAGCTGACAGGATGTGGCCGTAAACGCCTCTGTAGAGTCAACACTGCCTCTCTGTGCTCACTTTGGGCATCACATCCTGAGGGGCTGCACTGAAATGATGTGAAATGACAGGGAACTTGGAAAATGCGTGTAAGCATTAACAGTCCACTTGTGTTTACAGGGCGAAAATGGCAGCGTTGTTGTTGAGGTAAGCCCTTGGAAGAACTTTGTTTTCTTTAACTTTTCTCTCACATTTCCTTCAACTTGCTCTCTTTTTTTTCTCTTTTTTTCTCTTTAATTTTTCCAGAATGGAAATGATGCCCTGTTGAATTTTAACAATGAAGCAAAAGCTGCTCAAGTAAGAGCTCCTGCTTTGTCTGCAGCCTAGCATTAAATATAATATCACTTAGTTTTTTTGTTGTTGTTGTTTTTTTTTTAGCAGGATATATATGTATATATATACAGTATATTTCTGTTTGTTTTTGACATCCAGCCAGTGGAGGAGCTCAACCTTTTTGGAGCTGTGTCAACCCCCCCAGACATCCAGGCTCCAAATGTAAGTGTGGTGTTGCAGTGTCAAAATGGCCCTTAATCTACAGCACGGTGGGATTATTTTATGCAATATATTGCAATATATGTATATATATTTAAAAACGTTCTTCATCGTGGTATGGTAAGTGTTGTGAGGTTGGATTTATTTTCAGTAGAGCTTGTGTAGGTACTGTAATAGCAGTGATGGATACTTCATGTATCTTTTACAGTAGATTGTTGGGAATCTGGCTCTACAATTTAATTTGTCTGTGTCCTTGTGTGAACTCGGTTCTAAAAAAACCTGCTTTTTGTGTTTTTTTCTTACTTCAAATTCATTCATTTCAGATCCAAATTCCTCTTTTGAAGAACCAACCTAATTATATATGTCAGTCAGTCTCATTATTCATGTTCGTTTAAAGCTGCCACTGGTAAACAGAATAAGATTAAAAAAAAAAAAAAATGTTACGGTAACCCGTCCCTTGTTGCTGTAATTTGAAATTACAGACATTTTAACAAGGGTAGTTGCTAATGTTGGACACTAGGGTGGCAGCTTTAAATGTTCCGTCGTTCACGCACCATTTCCCATTGTTAACACGTGTTGTTTATCTCCTTTTTGCAGAAATGATTCATTGAACTTTTGTTTTTCTTCTCTCCCACCTTGCCTTTCACATTAACCAGGACTCAAATGACATTTTTTTGCTGGACTTTTCCGCCGAAGTTGACAGCAATCAAAATTGCATAAAGGGAAACTCCTTTGTCATGTCGTGTTGTTCAGACAGTAGGACAGAGAACGCCCTTTCCTCATCATTTGGTTACTTCCCAGTCCCAGACAATGACCCTTTCAGAGACGACCCTCTTTCTCCGCCAGCAGCCAATAATTCCCACGTCTTCACCACGGCTAATACTGCACACACCGATGCTGGCAGCACTCATATGGCCATTGTTAACGGTGTCTTTCCTGAAAGTCTCAGTCACCAAATTAACGGCTTAACCAGCAAGAACATGATCCTCGCGTTGAGTAACGGACAGTGGCCACTAGGGGGCAAAATAACTCAAGGCAGCACAACAAGCATGATGGATGGAAATGATTCTAGATCGGTTCTCGCAAACAAAAATCCCTTTTTTGACTCGCCTTTGAAAAATTCACCCGTCACCAATGGCGTGACTCATCAAGCACAGGCCCCTGTCACCCATAGCAAGGATTCAGTTGTCATAAGCCCACCTCCGCAGAACTCTAAGGCTGGACGAGGTCGAAGGAGTACAAAGGTGAAATTCCACAGTGGGGTGACTCCCACTAGAACTGCATGTGATGCTTGACTATGGCGGTTTTGTACATTTTCAGAGGATATGGAAAACGTGCTAACCTCTCCCTCACTGTGCACCCCGGTTGTGTGCCTTGGTGTCAGATAACAGGGTGTGATGTGCCCGCGAATGCACTGGGTTTACAGATGCAAGACACCTGTAATTAGACGGCGTGGTTGAGGGCTTGTTGTTGGGATCTACTCTGTCTTTATGCATGCACAGGTGGTCACATTCTTCTCTAACTGGCTTTGGCAAATGACACTTTGACTGTGCTGCTCAGCAATCAACTGCACCCACCTCTGCTCGTAATCACTTTCTTTCATGCTATTCTTTCATGCTACAGTGATAAAGGCACGGGTAAGTGAGAAATGCCTGCATGCCATAATGTTTACAGCAGCCATGGCTGATAATCTGCAGTGAGGACGTTGGTATCGGTATTTATTTTGTACATCTTGGTGTTGACCAGTCGACAGGAAGTGACCTTTTTGGAGCAGAACTCTTTGCCGCTCCTGTTCAGTCTGAGGCTTCAGTGGCACCACATGACCTCTTCAACAGTGCTGCGGCCAACTCTGCCCCTTCTTCACTAGCTGCCCTGGGTAACGGTCACAGATTGTAGAGACTTAACTTTTGTCTTTCAGTGAAAACTAGGTCACATGTTTTTAACGTTGCTGCTTCTGTGTGTCTGTGATCAGGGAACCTTCAGCTGAATGCTCCAGCAGCCACCAGTGTCCCTGCAGTGAACATGTGGGGAGCCTCCACTGCTCCACCCTCCATGTTTCCTATGCCAGGTGTGACAGCTCCAGGTCCAATGCCTCACTATCAACAGCCATCTGGCTTTGGCGGCGTACCCATACCACCCACGGCCTGGGGCCAGCCGGGGCCATCTCAGTTTGGTGCCCCTCCACATGCCTGGGGCCAGCCTCCACCTGCTGTTCTGCCTGGTACTGCAGGGTGGGGTCAGCCGGCAACAACCAATCCTTTCCATGCCGGCCCGTTCCCTGTAATGGGTGAGCAGCCGGGTCCAGCTCGCCCTCCCCCTAGACCGCCCGCTAAAGAAGCACCACCCAAGGTGGAGAACAGTGCCTTCACGGCTTTGGACCCTCTCGGAGATAAAGAAAAGAAGAGTGGAAAGGACATGTTTAAAGATTTTCAGATAGCCAAGCCTCCAGCTATCCCAGCCAGGAAAGGGGAGCTCGCGTCCAGTGTTGCCCCGGCCTCCAGCAGCAGCGAAGCCGGTGCATTTGATCAGTACTTTTCCAGTAAAGTGGGTGTGGCTCAGGATGCCGCAGATCACGACGATTTCGATATCAATCAAATGTCGGCAGTTGTCAACGGTAACGAGGCTTTTATGATTAACTGGGACCATCATTTCAAGTTGATTTATGTCAGACGTCTGAGAATTGTTTGTATTTTTTGGTTCTGTGTTGTAATTTACCTGTCTAGATGTCCCAAAACCTGCTCCTGCTGCTAACCCTCCTCCAAGCTTTACCTCCGGCCTCCTGGGCGACGCCTTCTCTCAGGGACAAAGCCTCAATCAGAACATGTTTGATGATGCATTCGGGGCTCCAACCTCTAGTCCATTTGGGATGCCTGTGGTAAGGGTTGGAAAAAAAGAAGCAAAATTCACACCAACAATCTGCTTAGATAAAATAACTTTGGTTCTTGTGTTTGTCTTATCTCGAAACAGACGGCGTCTGCTGGTAAGAGTTCTGGTACAGCCACCTTTGATGATCCTTTTGGAAATCCCTTCGCTTGACAACAGACCTAATAGTTAAGTAAGTTGTTAGAAGGACCTATTTTGGAGTGAGCATTGTTAATTGAATTCTCCAATAATGAATTTGTCCCTGTTTTTTTCTCTGCAGTGGAAGTAGAGTAAATGGAGCCAACTGAGATATTCACGTCGTTTGGACAATCAACTTCAAATCTGAGACATTCCAAAACTCTTTTTTTCCTTTTGCTTCCATATAATGCCGGAGTTTTCTTTCTAATCAGTAGTTCTCTAATTTCCGAAGACCACTTGATCAAAAAAGTAAATGCCATGTCGTGATCTGCTGAAGAAAGAAATTGAATGTGTGAGAGAAGTGATGCCCAGTGAGGCGTACTGTGGATGCTGTGTGTATTACAGAAATAAAAAAAAAATTCAGCCTAAATCCTTTGAGCTTTTGATAAGTCTTTTTTTTGTTTTTCTCTGACTAAGCAGTTTACTGGAGCTTTGAAAGAAAGTAATAATGCCTGAGGGTCAAAGGTCAAAGCTGGAAACAGTGGTACAGGATTTTCTCGTCTGTTTTTGCCTAAATTAAAATCCTGAAAAAGCATAAACTTCAGACTCAGATCTGCTCGGACAATCCAGGCTTGACACTTTTTACACAGATTGTGATCAACTTTGTAAATGTAATAACTTATATTACATTACAATCCTGTAGCATGAATATCGGGCTTTTTGCAATTCTCTCAGAATTTTAAGCAATTGGCTTATATATTTAAAAAAATGTATTTATTTTAATCAGGCACAAAGAAAAGCTGATGGGATTGCTGTAGTAATCCTATTAAAATACAAATATATTTAATTTAAAACAGCAAAATCAGACTATAACAATAATAATAATAATAAATAATTTCTCTTAACTTTACACATTGTGATAATCCTATTTGTAACATGCTGTAAATTAAATGTACTTGTGAAATTCATTAACTGCCTCTCATATTGTACATTTAGTTTAGGAAGAACTCATTTTAAAACCTTTTAACAGAAAAAGAAAATGAGTTTTCACTAGAGAACTTTTCTTCTTGTTAGATTTAATTTATAAATGGACACTGACAACAAACTCAAAGTATTAGGATTTAACACAATGTATAGAGCTTTTGAAATGGATGAACATTTTATGCCTAATTAACAGCACACGTTCTTGGTTTGTTTGATTTGGTAATTGTAAAACCTTTAAGTGTAACCTGCATTTGACTTAATTTTTTAGTATTTAGATTGAATTTTTAGCAATTTTTGGCTCCTACTTGCACAAACTAAACTCTGTGGAGCCATGTTGGTTTTACTTTACTTTTTTAACACAACGGAGATTTTCCCTCATTATTCGAATATTTGTTGACAATAATAACGTAACCTCTAGTCCTGCTGTTAATCAGTCATTTCCATGCTCGGCTGTCAGAATCACATAGCTGGTCTGTTGCTGGCTGAAGAGTAGTTCTTACCTCATCCAGAGCCATGTCCAAAAGCCACTACACTTCCCACAAGCCTTTGCACAGATAACCGTAAAGCGTCATAAAAAACAATATGGCGCCTGAATGCGTGCATGGAGTTTGCTATGTGCCGCTATTCGTCGAATATAAAAACTAGTTTTTGCCATTGAAGGAGCACTTTTATGACAGGTATGTTGTTGTACACAATATTAGCATTATACAGGCGTTAATAGAACAAATATGGCTGCTACCGGTTCGTAGCATCACAGGAAACGTCCAACTATGACTAAGACTCAACTCCTGTCAGTCGAGTTTCTGCACAGACGTGTTTTCTAATTGTTTTCTTAGATTGCTTGTACTCTTTAAAATATTATTTTGGTCTTTTGAAGTTGGGTAAGGCTTCCAGGTGCCTTTTCCATGTGTGGACAGCGGTTGACGTTACTGCTCCTGTCAGCAGGACCAACAGCTGAGGCATGCAAAACAACACAGCACATTGAATGCATCATTTGTAATTTCCCATGAATAATTCTACTTTGTATTTACGCCGCACAGTATTAAACTGGTGATGTGTGATAAGAAATTATACATTATTGTTCGCCTGTCGACGTACTATAAATATCGGTTACGTTAGCTTGGTTCACCGTTGTCATATATTTTTTCTGACTTTCCATACCTGATCAAATTGATTTTTTTCTTCTTCTTCCATTTGCCTACGTGGCTGTTTGCATTTAGTTACATTTTGACCATTTGACCTTTCTTTATCATCTCAACTGCAATAACATCTTTTTCTTTTAAACACTTCTCAATGGGGATGTGATGACAATTTGGTCACACATATTATATAGTAATACCACGGTTCAACATTAGTATATATCCAACCATTGTTTATACATAATATGGTTACAAAATTAAATGAATATAACAACAACACCCAAATCATGCCCACTGTTCACTTTCGTGATGGGTTAAATGCAGAGGTGATGATTTGGTTGTGTGCAGTGGTGTGTCACAATGTCACAATGACAAGGAGTTCACTTTCCTTCCTGTCATTTAGATGATTATATTAACTAAAACAATCAAATCAATCAATTGGCTGATGATTATATTAACTAAAACAATCAAATACATAATTCTTCAATTGGCCATTAGTGATCATGCGCAGATAATACATTGAATCATTGCTTAAGCAATTATTCATATATATATATATATATATATATATAATCAAAAATTATGTTTTCGAGTACAGTCTCATGTGATAATACAGAATACTTCCCTTCTTTTTTTAGGCCAAAATGTTTCGCCGTTCAAGATTTAGTGTTCAGCCCAAAGTCACTGGCAAGAGCAGAGCTGCAGCAGCACCCCAGGAAGCCCCGCCAACGAACCAGGAGGCCACTGAGACCACTACCACGACTGCCAGTGACAGCAGCAAAACCAGTGCAGTAACAGAAATCCCATCTGCTGTGACTCAGTCAACACCTGCAGCCTCAGGGTAATTCACAGATGTCATAACTAACCAAACTTCAACTGTGTATTTTGTTCAATGATAGCATTTGTTCTCTCTTATGAACAGGGAAGTCAATGACCAAAATGTGGATAGCACTAGCTCCTCAGCGGCACTTCAGAGAAGAAAGCGGTTTTCTGTGAAGCCCAAGGTGGCCCCAGGTCGCCCCTCCACCCAGAGTCGGACACCAAAATCCCCCATCAAACCGGTCTTGGAAACCCCTGCTGAAGTACCGAGCTCAGACCTCGATAAGCCAAGCACATCCGATCAGAATGAGTCTCAAGAACTTCAGTCCCCACAACGACCTTCAGAAGAAAGCACGCAGCTCAAAGTACAAAGTGATACCACACCTGGATCTTCAGAACTACCAGCTGTAGCAGGTCCTGAGGCATCACTACAAAAAACTGGCAAACAATTAGAGAGCCAAGTTACGGACATTTCCTCTAGACCTCCGGTTAAAGCCCAGCCCTCTCTACCAGACAAAGAAACTGATGAAATATCAGAGAAGGCCAAGACTTTGGTCTCATCTAAGAGTGGACTGTCTATCTCAGCATCAGCTTCGTCTTTGAGTAAACTCCTCAATGATCCATCCGACTTACAGAGGCTAGCAAAGGCCCAGAAGTTAAGAGAACTGCTCAGAGAGGAAAAGCACAAGGAAAGGGTTGGTTCAGCTTCTCGTATAAGACCATTACCTTGACTTTCAAAGTGTCTCAGGTTTGTGCAAAAATATAAAAAATAAAAGTGTCTCAGGTTTGTGCAAAAATATGCATTTGATCTTTTATGATCATTTATGTCTCGAATCCTTATTGTGTTTCAGAAACTCAGGAAATCTAAGTGTCGTGGAAAGGAATACTCTTTGGATCCAGCAAAAATGACCATGAGAGACCTCATCCATTACCTTCCAATGTCCAACCCCATGAAGTAAGTGTCTCTCTGTAGCATATTTTCACCTATTTTCACTTTTATTAACCCTATTTTAAAAAGCTGATTTTAGAAATATGACTTCGCTGTTAACTCTACATATCAGCACCCTTTAAATGCAACGTCTTCTTTTGTCCTCATCCTAATTGTTTCATGTAGGGTGTCTTGGTTTCTTCCCTAATCTAGTTGCAATTTGCACTTTTTAGATCGAGTATTACCGATATGGCTCCTGAGAACGAAACAGTGGTTCCATCCTCACCAGGAAGAGAAGAGTAAGATGATTTCATCTCTGTCTAAAGGTTGAATGAGTAGGAATATTCAAATAGTTTGAAATACTTACTTTATTAATACTAAATAAAAATTGCAAATGTCGAAACGAGCATTGGAAGTCGACGTGTGAGTACAAAATCCGGGCACGCTTTCAAGAAAATAAACATAAATATGAATGACTAACACATACTTAAGATGTATATTAAATACAATTTTTTATTTTTTTAAACTAGTGGAAATATTTGCAAAACGTTCTCAAACTTCTGAGCTTTAAGCATTTTTTGATGCCAGTGTTGTTTAAATCCAAACTTTTTCTTCTGCCTCATGCCTACGTTGTATTTCTGCAGACCCCTAGAGAGTGCACAGGAACCTCAAGCCCCCCAAAACGATGCAAACCCAACTGTGGAGGATGAGGATGGGGATGTAGAGGAGGTGGAAGATGAAGAGCAGGAAGATTCGATCATGGTTCCCCAGGTTAAAGTTGCAGAAGATGGATCACTGATCATTGATGAAGAGAGGTCAGTTGGTAACTGTGCCATAATTGTGAACACATTTGTCCTAGTTCTGCAGTGAGATTGTCTCTCTGAATGTTCATGGACTTTTAACCTGTGTCTCAGTTTGACAGTGGAAGTCCAGAGAACAAAAGGACCAAACACGACACAGGATCGTGATCCCATCTTTGAGCGCGGGTCAACAACAACATACTCCAGTTTCAGAACATTGAAGATGGCAAAACCCTGGTCTGCTGAAGGTTACTATGAAATTCAAGTTTTGAAAAAAAAAGACATTTCTTATGTTTCATATAACTTCTGTCTGGTCTTATTATTATTATTTTTTCTTGCCTGTTTTTTTCTTTACCAGAGACAGACATGTTCTACTTGGCTATTAGTATGGTGGGAACGGACTTTTCTATGATTTGTCAACTTTTTCCTCTGAGAAGTCGCACAGAGATTAAGGTCAGTGATTTAACAGAGTTCAACAGAAAATAAGAAATAAATCGAAAAATTTGCTGTAAATGAAAAATCTATAACATTTTCAGAACAAATTCAAAAAAGAGGAGCGAGAGAATTGCTGGAGGATCGACAAAGCATTCAGTGAGTTTGTTAGGATGTTGTTGTTGATGGTGCTTAAAAAATGAATCAGTACAAAGAATAAAACATTATAATTTTACTAGAAATTGCTTTTGTAACTAAATAAGTTCTCGTGCAGTATTTACTGACAAAGAATCACAGCTGACAATTATTTTGTAGGAGACAAGCGTAAGCTGGACATAGAGTACTTTTCCAAACTGCTGGAAAAGATTTTGGAGTTTCAGAAAAACAAAAAGAAACTCAGAGCAATCACTCAGAAGAATGCTCCCAAAAAGAGCCAAAGAAGAGAAAAGGGTAAGTAATTCACCCTGTATTTCAGTATCTGTATTTCTTTATCACAGTCATTGTCCAAACCAAATACATTTTTATTCCTGTTTCCTGTGTGTCTGTCCACAGGGAAGAAGAAGAAGTCTAAGAAACTGACTGATATAGAGGAAGAAGATGAAAATGAAGACGACGATGAAGTGCTTGATTTGGAGGATGAGGAGGAAGGAGGAGAGAAAGAAAACGACAACCTCGCTAATGAAGACGAAACTTCATTCTCGAAGCCCAAGAGACAACAGAAAAGGAAGACTGAACAGGATGATTTAAATGAAGAACCAAACAATAACAAAAAGAAAAGAGCTGCAAAGGGTGTGTGCGCTGACTTAGTACTGTTGTCATGTAGAACACCAGAGGGTGTGTTGTTTGCTCTACATTTACTGCTCCTGCAGACCAACTATTAGTAAAAGCATGTAGTACATTAAGTTAATTTTGCTTTTGCTTCAGGTGAGACCAGCATACCTGAACACACTGAAGCTGCACTTCCTGAGAACCACACAAGCACAGAGACGTAAGGAAATAATCACACACAGCAGTGGTTCCCAAACTTTTTTGGCCTGAGAATGATATGTATATATATCTATATATATAATCTCTAATATATAATCTCAAGCCAAAATATCCTACCATATTTTTGTCTCCTGTTTTTACTGGCTCTGAAAGGTCTGACGATGTGACTCCCACCAAGGACACACCAGTTAAACCGGTTGAGCTCTCCAGAATGAGAGTGGCAAAACCTCTGCTGCCCCTGGGCAGAAAATGGGGTAAGAAGCCTCCGCTGCCATCAACAAGACCTGAAGAAAGCATGGCAGATGAAGAAAATGAAAATGTGTGTGACGGCGCCTCAGACCAGGTCAATATTTACACTTTTTATTTTTTTTGATAAGTCACTAAATCTTTGGGTTACTGGCATAAAAGAATAGATGAGTGAATGTTGACTCTTCTTTCTCCCTTTCTTTGTCTCAACTCGTCTTCTTTTTTTTCTTTTTTTTGTCTCACTTAACTCATGAGAAAATAAGGTTCACACTGTTTCGTTCACAAGACAATTTTGTCACAAAACGAGCTCCAGACGATTATGATTTTTTATAATTATGTACATATGTTTTTGTTTTTTTTTTACAAAAATACTGTTGGTGGTGGAAGTTCTTCCCACGTTCTAAATATTTAAATGCCACTTCCGCTATGATGGAACCTTAAACAGTCTTGATTTATATAATAGCAGGTCACAAGTAATGTTTTTCAGGTACGTACTGCCACCTACTGTACAAAAGTGTGTAGTGTCATGGTACTGTACTTTTGACCACTGACTTTTTGGGATAAAACAGCCCACTACTTACGCCTTGGTGCAGATTTATTCATTGTCACGCATTTGTATCGATTTTTAACTTATTCATTATTCATTGTTACATCCGTACCAAAGACATTTGTGCTGTTAATGGGGTCACACTGGAGGTGTCCCAATGTACAGTATTCAGCAAGTGCTACCAGGAGAAATGCGTTAAAGTAATTGCTGATGACATATTTTTTGTAAACTATCCGTAGGTAAACAAGGAGTCATCGCCTGTAAAACAAGCCGGTCTGGAGCAGTCAGCTGAGGCTGACGTTTCCTCTGAAGAAGAGTATGCCACTGTTCAACCTCCGAGACCCACAAGGTACGACATATCTCACACTCCAATACCAGCATTTGAAGTCACTAAGGCTGTCAGAATTAACTTGTTTAATGCAAAATATTTCTGATTTTAATATTGGACACATTTGTCTTATCCCAGTTGATACATGTGTAGTCAATTTTACGCTAGTTAAATTGTTCTTGGTTCACAAAAGCAATAAGATCTTAAAATCCCATCTTAATGTTTGTGGAAGCTTCACCAAAGTTTATTGGTTCTTCAAACCTCCATCAAGATGCACAGTAATGAATAAAATACACCAATGTTTGTAGAAGGTCCTTCTGAGTTGTTCTGTTGCATATTTGTCTTGACAGTTTTCTATAATAATAATTCCATTTATTTGGATTTAGTCACTAAAAAAAAAACCCAGATAAAATACATACATCTTCGTGTTGTTATTTGTCTTTTTGCTTTAGGGATAAACAGAATTTTCTTTTCATTTTTAGGAATTAATTTCATATTATCACGATTATTTTAATTAATTGCCATTAATCTGGAGCAACAGTGTGTTAAATCAGAATCAAAATTGTATTGTTTTAGTCAAGATTTTCATAAGTATGTGTGGTGTATTTTGGTGTCAAGGTATGGAAGAATGCCTAAGCCCACCAAGCCTCTAACGTACTCTGCTAAAGAGGCTGAACACTCCGATGCCCCCGCTGCCTCATCAGTGGACACAGCTGCGTCTAACCTGAAGTCTAAACCCAAATGTTCAACCAAAAGAGGGCGAACATCGAAACAACAGTCTGCCCAGGAGTCCAAAAAGCCCAAACTAGTCACACTTCGAGCTTCCCAGTTGCAATACAGTGACGATGAGGAGGAAACGCAGCTGGAAGATCATGAGGAGCCAGAGAGAGAAGTGGACTCTGAGGACGGCACTGCCTGTGTCTTTGTGCCTGCCAGCCTACGTTCCCCACCACCGGTGATCGCAGAAGTTGAAGAAACTATGGAGGAGGTAAAATGTTGTTGTTTTGCATTAGCACCCAGCTTCCAGTGTTTTATTTTGCTTTTTTTTTCATAATCTACTAAGTAAACATGTTTTTTTTGCTTTTATTTGGTTTATGCATGGATTTACACTCTCATTTTCACACAATCGACTCTGATTCCTCATCCAATTCTTAGCTTGATATCTTGGCTAATATGCCCGATGTGTTGGGCATTTCCCAAGATGCACTGTGCCATGATGTCTCTTGGGATAAGGCACAAAATCAGACAGGCACAGCTGAACCATGTGAACATCAGTTGGACCTGCTAGTTGTAAGTTTCCAATGTCTAAAATGAGTACCAGTAAAATTGAAGTGATAAAAGTCACTCTTCTTCTTAAGTTCTGACTTTTTCAACATTAATCCTGTATTTTTTTTTGTTTCACTTGTAAATATTTTTACATAATTTGCTAAAGGAGCATGTTTTAATTGAACTCTGAATTACATAATACAATAAAAGACACTAACAAAGCAATAACATTAGAAATCTGAGTGAATAATTACGTTAGCAGTTTTACATTTTAAATAAAATTCAGATGGTTGTTTTAATCTTTGAGGCTTCTTTGAGAATCTTTAAGTATGACTTTACGTTTTTTTTACAGGATGTAATAGACTACCTTTCTTCAGAACAGACAGAGGGTACGAAGTAATTCACAGTAAATAACACCGATTATTTTTTTGGTTTTTAAGATTGTAGTTAAAGTATGCAGTTTTTGTTTCAGTGTGTGAAGATGAAGGCTACAATGAAGCTGCTCAAACACTGTTGACTATTAGCAACATGATGCATCTCCCTCAGACAGCAGAGAACCAATCAGCTGCACAAGATGATGTAACAGGTAAAAAAAACTGATGCTGAAAAATTGCCTGTACTCACATTTGATTTAATTTATTTTAATATATTTTAAATTAACGTGATTTTCTTTTGTTCTTGCAGACGAACTACCAGAGTGTTCCAGAAAGCCTCGGCCACACATTGACTTGGAGGAGAGCAGTGAAACAGCAGTGAATTCGAGTGATGGAGTCTCACAAACACCAGAGCCCAGCAATCAGCTATGTGGTGTCTCAAAAACAGTTGATGATACAGACTGTAGCTCACAAATAGACCCAAGCCCAGAGGAGTCAGAAAAACATTCCCCACAACCCAGAAAGGTACTACCTAAATTGAAACCTAAACCTAATTTAGCAGTGGTTTCAATGACTGCACAGCCCCAATCACAACCAGACAACATATCAGAGCCGACAGAGCATAAAGAAGATAGCAACACGCGACCTGTCCACTGTCCACCCAGTGAGACATTGTCATCTCATGAAGAAGTCTCTGAAATCACAGATTCACCTTCAGTGTTTGCCCCGTCATCTGATACAAAATCTACTGTTTCACCACCGAAGAATCCGTCCGCAAACAAAGAGTCAAAAATGACAAATAATGAGCTTGTTGAGCAAATGTATCATGTTTTGCCAACGACTCGTCTGAGTGTCTCAGAAGAACAAACCCTGCCTGATATTCCATTTGAACCCAATATCAGTGATGCATGCTTGTCATCTGCAGTTCTGGAGAAGAGAGAACCCACTCAGGATGAGTCAGAGAGTCATGGTAACTTGGTGGAGTCCGATTCACTTGTAACAGTGTTACCAACTGGGCAAAACACGAGTGAACATCCTGCATCATGTGATTTGTCCTTCTCCAAGAAAGAAGGAGATGAGGCTGAGCTTTCCCCTGGTGGCCAGCTCAGAAGATCAAGGTCACAGAAGGTCAAACCTGTACCAAACATACCAGGGACATTAGGAACCACTCGATCAAGAACTCCAGTCGTTGAAGAGCGAGACGAAAGCGACTCTTCTGTCAATAAAACGAGTCAAAGCACTAGTCTTTCTGCTGTCGTAACGTCACCAAACTCCCCCTGTGAAGCCACCACAGAATTGTCATGTATGGGAGACGAGCAAGTTCAATGTGAAACATCAGTGGATGCTATGTCTTTTCTAGGACAGAGTGAGTCAAAAAGTCATCCTCAACTTACAAACCAAGACGTGGGGTCAACATTGGCAACCACAGATGACAAAGGGTTAAGTCACAGCGAAACATCTGGCAGTTGTTCTCTGTTGGGATTGGTCTCAACGGCTGATCAGGACCTGGGCCTTGTCCAAGAGATCAGTGAACATGCTGTGACACAAAAAGAATCACCTGTCACTCAGCAGGTAGAAAGTGAGGTCAAATCAGCCGTATCATCCAGAAGGAGTCGATTCCCAAGGGTCCAACCAAGAATACCCCAGACCTCAAGGTCTAAACTTCAAACCAAAAAAGACTCTGAAGAAAACGACTCGATAGCCGCACCAATTTTATCATCTCCTAAAAAGTCAAATCAATCAGTAATTTCAACCTCAAATTTACCACCCGCTAATAATCTGTCTCCAACTGAGGAAGTAGACAGGTCATTGGCAATGACAAAGTTACAGGCTGGACAAGAGTTGATTCCTCTCCAGGAGAGCAGTGAACATCGTGTGACTGTAGCTGTTGACAGAAGTGAGGCTCAAATGAAATTTGACTCTGATAAAACTGGTTCACAAGCAGAAGAAGTAAAAAGCTGTGGGGAGGCTGAGCCACATGTTGGTCAGAAAGAAGAGAACAAAGTTACATCTCCCTGCACGTCTAGAAGACGATCGCAGAAAGTTAAGCCTAAAGTTAACATACCACAGACATCGAGACCTTCCAAACTCTCACCTAAAAAAGCCAAAGACGTAGTAGAAATTGAATCAAATCCAGCATCTGTAAGTGAACAAGGAGAAATCCTGACTTCTTCTGAAAATGAAACAAGTCTGGGCTCAGGTTCGCTTTCAGTTTCGATTCCATCATTGGATGTAGGCTCCACTCTTACAAATGAACAACCGTCAACTGCAGAGCTGGAAAGGGCAGACGAGAAGATTGTTGGACGGACGTGTGCTGTTGGGTCACCTCTAGGTCACTATCAATCAGAAAACCACAGCCTGTCGGATGTTTTGTTTGAACACAGCCGCAGAAACACAGAAACAGCCAGTGAAAAGGCCAAATGTCGTGATGCCACATCTGAGAGCAGCAATAACAAAGTGACATTTGACACTGCCTCTGCACGATCCAATAGAGGAGAAAATGTACCTCCTATCCAAGAGAAACTTCGCAATCTTGATGCAGAAGTTGCAACTGTCAGTCAAATGGAAGAGAGTGACGCCCTCCAAGATGTAACTCAGTCAAAACCCACCTGCTCTAAACATCGAATGACAGATTCTACCCAGGACGTCGTCATTCTTCCAGAAAAACAAAGTGAAGGTGCTGACACTGACAGTGCTTCTGCTTCCGTTCAGTCAGTGGAACTGTCCACCTCTGACAAACCAACATTACTGACTGTGAAACCTAAATCTGAGCTTGGACTTGAAAGCACCACTGATAGTCCTAAGGCAAGTGTCCCTCAAAGAAGAAGGTACTTTCCCAAGGTCAAACCTAATTTGGTGTCCTCTCCCAGACGCATATCGACCACACAGCGGCAAAGAAACAGCACTGACACCTCAGATGAACAGCCTGTTGGCATTCCTCAGATACAAGTGGAACGCACGGACAAGAATACACAGATAAAAGGTGCGAACAGTCCGTCAGTTGAAGGCAGCACTGGAGAATCTGCAATTACAGAGGCCAACGAGAGACTTGACAGCACAGGTGATATGAACACATCCTCCAGTGGCATTTCCATAGCAACACCATTTATTGCTGACATCCTGAAAAAGTCAGTTACTGAACATAAGGTCAGTGAAGTCTCATCACGAGAAAGAGGTTCAACAGACGGTGAAATATCCAACAATATCAAGGTGGAAGCTGGCTGCTCCAGGACACCACCAGCAGATGATTCAACGACAGCTTTAGGTTTTCTCTCCTCCAAAGAACCTCATGCCTCCTCCATACAAGACAAAGAGGAAGTAGGCCCATCTTCCCAAAGGTGAGTTATTTTGTTTCTGATTGGGCTTTCTTAAAAAATGCATTAATTCTGAATTAAGATTTTAAAGCATTTTGAGGCACGGGCAGAATGACATACACTGTTTATCATAGAATTCCACTGCCCCCCCCCCCAACTTTTTCATGTCTGATACCGATACTGCAACTTGGAGTATCTGTTGATACCGATGCCTGTCCAATACATTCTTTTCTCCTTTGCCATACTGAAGGCTGCTGTTGCTGGGGCAATAGTGTCTCTGTTTACGGCATGTCACGCAAAGTGAAGTTGAGTGTTTGGGTTTAGGAATCAGATCGTCCAGATGTGTCCAGCCGCACTGAGCGCAGGGCAGTAAAGTAGTAGTAGTAAGTCTACGTCTGAAAAGCTGACTGACTTTGAAAGCAACTCTCGAGGCATCGTATTGACTAAAATTCAACAACTCTACGATGCTAAATTTTTAATAAATACATTTGCATCTTTTTTCCCTTAATTATTCATGATTAATTGTGATTAACTGACATTGTGATTAATGCACAGCTCAGATTATTCAGATTAAAAATGTTTAATAGTTCACCAGCCCTAGTTTCCATTGATGTAAAATTCTTTTAGGTCATTTTACCAAAAGCATTAAAATATTTTTCTTTTTACTGACAGCAGTCAGTCAGAGCTTCACTGCTCTTCAAAACCTACAAGTAAAGCCCCACAAACACGCAGAGGGAGACTGATGAAACCCACGCCCAACCTTGGACGCAGTAGGTCTTTGCAACCTCAGAACCAGAGAACCACACAGGATGTCAAAGGTACTTGTATTCAAACATGTTTTCAACAATTCTTAGCAAATCTGTAGGATTCCTGTTACTGATGTGTTTCATCCACACAGATACTGGTGCAGTGTCAGTCCACAGACCTGTGCCTGAAGTACAACCTAATATCCAAGAATCAGTGAAGGAGAATATTCCATCTTCCAGTGCAGCGTGCCTCCCTCTTGACGGTGACTCCATGTTGGTCCGCTTGACAGAAACTGATGGTCAGCAAAATGAACATGACCCATCTGTTGATGTAACTTTTCTGGGATGTGAAACACAAGAAGTTGACATTTCCCAGGTGAGAACATTTAACATTTAACAGCACTCTCTGTCTTGGTGAAATATTATAATACTATTTTATTTTGTAGACAAACAAATACAGACTGTAGTTTCCTGTATTACAATAGTCATCTCTGCCATTTGCATGGGTTCCACAGGCCTTATTTTGGTCCTCATTATTTACACAATGCTGATGCCGGTATCAGGACCAATAGTTCATTCAAATAGTCATACCTGAAAGATGTTTTTTGACATTTATTTAGTTTTTTAACCGGTAGTGTTATGGATACATGTGTAGATCACATGTGTAGTTTAATGACGTACATGAAAATACATGTTTAAAAAACACTTAAGTAACTTTGGAGCCCGAGATGTTAGACGATATAATCAACTAAAACACCGTCTCTTCTTCCTCAATCTATAGATCACACCAACAGTGACTTTAGTGGAGAGAACTCCTCAGTGCTCCACCGTGTTTCCAGCCTGTAAGTAAAACCCGCAGTAGCTGTTATTTTACATCAGATGAATGACTCTGGTGGAGACTGTGTTGACACCACAGCAGGAGTTAAGTTTTTTTTATTCCCCTTTCAGTGACTACAGAGCAGTTGCCTTCAGATCCAGACGAGCCGTTTTTCATCCTCTCCCTCACTGAGATTCCAGTCAGCTCATCGGCAGAGATGATGGACACCACCGTGGAGACTCACCATTATGTCGGAGATACATTTACGCAGCAACAGAGGTTTTTGCAGTTCTGCATGAGCCAAACATCCAGACATTTAATTAGCAGATAATATGGTTATATTTTAAGGTGATTTGTTTACTTCTTCCATCAGCAGAGATTCTGGACAGCCTGTAGCGGTTCCTGTTGAGGAATCTCCCTTAGAGGTAAGCCACACCCATGTTAACGCTGCAGAGTCGCTGACACGGTTGGTCAAGTTACAAAGAACCACACGTTTGTAAAATACCTTGGCTAAACTCAAGTTTTATTTTTCATTCTACACCAGGATGTTATCAAGGAAAATCCCCTAAACACACAGGGTACATTGACAGTTTTTTTTACAATTATACTGATACCTAACATTTGAAAAAAGTCCTAATTGTATCATGTTTTGGAACAGAAGGTTCAACAGTGCAGCCATCCACATCACCGGAAACTGAAGATAATATGAATATAGCTGAATTTTCTTCCAAAACGGAGACAAAGCAGAGATCGCCGAGGCCTCCAAGAAGAGGTCTAAAAAATATTCCTCCTCTGTGTTGATTTTTTAAATTTTCTTACACCAACATGACATGGATTTTTAATACTTTCTAATTTCTAATTTACTAATTTCTCACTTTATGTTTTTTTTTTTTTTAAGCAGCCAAGCTCCAGGTCAAGCCTGACACTACCAGGACACGTGGCAGCAGGACTTTGAGAGTCGACATCAACCAAGACTCTGACCTTCCACAGTTTTCCATGCAGCCGCAAGTCTCAGTAGACAATAGAGCTGAGCTGGACCGTCCAGGGAGTGGTCCTGGAGATGATGTTTCAGAAGCAGAAATTAAGACCGAAAATATGAAGACAAGGAAAAGTACTAATGGGTAACGAATGGCAATTAAAATGACAAATGACACCTTAGGCTTTTATGAATTTTTTTTAAATATATATATCAAATACTTGTATTTAAGTTAATTTTAGTTACTTGTTCACCATTATTTTACTCTACAAACAATCGCCACCAATGTTTGTCTTTCCAAGTACCACTAGTATGACCATCTTTATAATACTGCAGTACAAGTCTGTCTGTCTGCCCGTATCAGGCAAAGCCAGGCTGGACTACAGCACGTTTTATCGCTAAATAAACCAAACAGCCAAAATTAGTGTTTTTCATAAAAATATGCTCAGACCGAGGCCATGTCTTCACAGAGCTATACAAAATGAACTGAAAACCACATGTAGGTGCTGAATAAATACATAATATTATTGATTTCAAATACTGTCTGTTCTTTACTCTGATAAATAACTGGCATTTTATTTTTCCCTATCCATCTTACGACCAGTGATCCTCTCCCTGGCCGAGCAACATCCAGCATTTCTAAGGTCAAAACTGAACAATCCACCTCCATCCCCGTGGCTTCAACGTCACAAACTGTTGCTTCCTGTAGCCATGTGACCAAGCAGCCAGGGGAAACCTCAACAACTCTCACTACTTCATCTTTAGAAGAGTCTGTTCAACAGACCACTGAACACAGTCAACTGTGCTCAGACGTACTCATAAACAAACAGGTGAATGGAGAGGCTTCATGACTCACTGTTGATTTGTCCATACAAACTAGAGAACTTTCCACCTCATCTCATCTCATCTCATCTTATCCTTTCCTTTGTTGCAGTCGTGTCCAGAGCACATTGAGGAGGAGTCCACCACCGTGTCTGAGTACTTCTTCAGCGACATTTTCACTCCAGTGGAAGAAGACTGAGCCATTAGAGGTGCAGCAGGGAGGGTACCGGCCGAGGCCGAGCTCCTTATGTGTAGAACCATTTATGTAAAGATTAATTTATATAGGTTTTATATTTTGTACTCCAAGGAAGTGTGAATGTGTATTATACACCCTCCCTCTTTAACAAGCACCTCGAGCACCGTACATATTCAGCATGTAAATTTTGTGTGATCATTTTTTTGCACTGCTTTAGAAAGGCTGCAGCCCACTTGAAACAATTCAATTCGAGGTGATTTGTTATTGAACAAGGCAGGTCAATGTAAATAATGTGCAATTGCGAATGAGCTTCTTCTGAGTTGACATCATGTTAGCACATTCAGTCTTCTCCTAATTTAAGTCTTTTTGTGTCGTTGTGATATCTATATATCTGAAACATTTTTGTTTATATTTGATAAATTACTTGATCACGTTGTACATTTTGTTAATATGTATAAATATCTATACATCATATGTATTGTATGATGTTGAACTTGAAGAATAGTGTGAATAGTTGTGGTTAAGGCATCCTGTCTATCGTGTAATTCATACAATGCCCCCATTTATTTCCATTCAATATTCCTTCAGAAACAATTTTGTTGAATTTATTTTAGATATAATAAAAATGTTTTACCTCAACTAATGGGTTTTTGTGCTGGATGCTAAATGACAAAATGCTTGAATCGACTTATTCTAGTTAAATTAATTTAATTAAATGTTTTTCGATATTTTGTAATGTATGAAAGTCATCTTTTCTATCTTAATAGTTGGTGTCATACCTTGGCAGGTGTAGTCAATCAAACTTAAAACACACACAATTACAGTGGGACGGTAGGGGGCGCCAAATCCGCATCACACCTTTACAGTAAAAGGGCTCGAGCTGACTCAGTCAGTCCACAAGTGAATATCTCCACTTGGCAACATTACTGGGCGAGTTTCTGTTTCCAAACGTCCAATGGAATCTTCCAGTAGCCTCCTTACCTGCAGCGACTTTGACGTCAGCCTGGTCCAGAAGATGAGCCACCATCTTGTCCTGTGAGGTGCAGAGGACAGGTCAGTTTACATGTTCAATAAATGAAAAATAAAATAATTAAAGAAAAAACTACATAGCGTTGTTGTCCAACCGTTGTTCGTGAATATTCATTTCCCGCCATTAGCCACTAGAGGTCAGGTGATGTTACATTTTCCCAAACCAGGCGTTACTCGTCGTTAAGCTGTTTAATAATTATGATTTTATAAAGTTAGGTACATAAGGTGTTTTCTCATGTGCCGGTTTTAATTTTATATTACTTAACCTTGTGTGAATATATTTTTTACAGGTCTTATAAGATAAAAGATACCAGACAAGTGTCATCTGCACGTTAGGTGAAATGGCTAATGGCTAATGCCCTTTCCGGTAAGTGATTTGTAAACCCTATATTCTATTTTTGTTACTCACATGACTGATGCAGAGGGAGAGACGTTTGTGCAGTCCGGATAAAAATGTTTACCTACCAATTATTTATAAAATACCACGCAGGATATAAAGATATCTGTCCGAGTTCTCAGTGATTTATGTCATCCATCTTATATAAAGCAGTACAACATGGATGTGACTGGACTGGTAGGTTTTTCAAAACCTACCAGTCCAGTTGCCTCTTTTGGACATGATATAAAGAATAAAATAGTATATAGGGAAATCTGTGTTGTATAAATCATATGAGTAAATCAAGTAATTATACAGTATATATGTTTGTACATTTGTAGGGTATAATTAAAGCTACATGGTGTGTAAGTAATCTAGTACATGGTCAGTTTATCAAAACCTATACAGAGTGTAAGTAATCTAGTACATGGTCAGTTACGTCAGTTTATCAAAACCTATACAGTTTGTAAGTTGCAGCTGTGTGTATTAATTGTTCATAGTAGTTAATTGTAATTTTTGGTCAGGTGTACACATTGTCATCAGTGCTATTGTCTGGTTTTAAAAGCTGACCCTGAGTCTGTTTGTCCCAGACCTCAGTGCTTTGAGGATTCTTCAGTTCTGGTTCAGTCCAGAAGTGAAGAATTATCTTGGATGAGAAGTAAAATGTCTTCAAGAAACTAAGACAGTTGCCCTCTAGTTAACTGCTTTGGATTCCTAACTGTGTGTACAGGGCGTAGTAAAAAGGCTGTTTCAGGTATTCCATTAATGAGGAAACCACCACTGTGTAAATATCTAGTATAATTCTTCTGCTTCTGTTGACCTTCCACTTCAGTCTTTGTTATGAGTGCACTCCCAGGCATGCATGGTTCTCTACGCCCTCAATATCCTGGCTAAAAGATGCACGCATGTCTCAAGTGCTTTTCTTTTTACCAAAGTTGGCGAACAGCGGTCTGGTCTTGTCCCCTCCATCCACTCCATAAAAAACATTTCAGTGATTTGTATTGCTCCTTCTATCCATCATATTTTTATGAAACAACTGTGGCTGTCAGAAAACTTCTGTAGGTTGAACAAAGTTTAAAGTTGGTTTGGTTATGTGTAAAGAACAATGTGTGTGGTTGACACATGATTTATAGTCATTCATCTCTGCTGTCGTACAAAATATCTTTCCAGCCTCATGCAATTTCTTTGTACAGTAACTCATGATTATGTGGCAGAAGACCAACCATCATCTGCTTACTATTTTTCTGCAAATATGTTTGCATGTATACATATACATACATATTTATATATGTAGAAATGTATGTGTTTGTATGTATACATGGGCATATATTTACAAAAATTACTTGGTCTATTTATGTATATATTTATAAACATATTTGAAGTATAAATGGGTGTAGGCTAATATGTATGTAAGTATTTGCATACATAGTGACTTTTGATTTCTTTTTTCATTTCATTGTCCTCTTTGTTTTCATACGGAAGTTTATCTTTCTAAGTTTCCTGACACATGTTGACTCAACCCCCCCAGCCCCCTTTTGGCCCCTCAAACACACACTTTAACATGTGTTGTTTTTGGTGTTATTTGATACTGCTGTGAACTTCCTGTTAGAAATCTTTTAACTTCTAATTATCATTTTCTTCTTTTTTGACATAAGCTTCTTTTCAAAAAATTCTTACTAGATAATGAATGAAGACACAGGAAAATTCTAACTATCTCAGAAAAAACTTGGCTTGTTGCATCTGGAAAAGACAAGTAGGCAAGGACATAGGCAGGAGACGTTGACATGGAGAGTACCACAACAGCAGCTCTTCCCTGGTTGACTCACATTACAAAATGTCAAGAACAAAAGAAAATTGGTTGGCTAACATAATATCATTCAGTCGTGACAATGACATGCTATATTACATTTATACACAGTGTAGTATCTAGATAGATAGATAGATAGATAGATATATAGATAGATAGATAGATAGATAGATAGATAGATAGATAGATAGATAGATAGAATCTTTATTAATCCCTTTATTTTACTAGTTGTTTTTCACCCCGCCCATTGTCCATCAAAGGGATCAGTGTGCCTATAATAATATTTAGCTCTTACCTATACTGTTTAAATTTTTACAACTTTATATAGCACTCATGTGGAGGGACTCGGAAGACTTATGTTGGAGCCAATCCCAACAGTGGTAAGATGGGGGCGAGCTACACTTTAGACGGCTAAGCAGTCCATTTTCAGAATTACTTGTTATGAGAATGACATTTGGTGCAGAACAACACCTTGCTTTTTGTACGTACTGTACAAATGTTGAAGAAAATTAGAAACTTACTGTCTATTTTAACTTTACAGTATTCAACTAGGTTAGTCGGGTGTATTATCAGGGGCGACCAGGCCAAGTTGCAGTAGTAAAGGGTAAATGATACAAACACAGGTAAAACAGTATCAGTAAAAAAAAAAACCAAAACACTCTAAACAATTAAAAACATGAAGTCGATTCTCCAACAAAGCAGATCCATTTTATTTAACAAGGAATTTTCAAGAGAAAATGCGCAGTAGGTGCACATAAACAGGAACTATCACAATAAGTAGTTGTTGACGAGGTGTAGTTATGGAGCTTTGGGCTTTTCTTCCACTTGCTGGTATGAGGAGGAGCAATTGGAATGATGATGTGATTGAGTTACTGGAATGTAAGTTGCAGATGGTTGTGTACTCAATTGATATCAGGTCAAGTAGAAAGAAACAAATAAAATATTATAATAGCCTTCACACTTCCTTCTACCATTGATGCAGAAACTGCTTTTAATAATAGTCTGTGAGGATTGGAATCTAATTCACCTACATCCTGAAAGCAATTATTATCATTATCTTCATCATTATTTTTTATAAATCTGATTTATTTTGAAGAACATACAGAATTTGAATCCAAAGCTGAACCACCTTGCACATCTCTTGTTTATTTTTCAACAAGATGTGGTCAGGGCAGAAGTACATTTCCCTGCACAAGAGGACAAGCAGCATGACTTGTGTATTTTCTTTGTAACACTATAGAGTACTTGTGTGGCACGATCTTCCAAAGAAAACTTTGTTGAATGGATATCAATCAAAAAGTTTCTATGTATAACCTTATGTGAAGAGTTGTTTTCGACTGGTTAAACATAGATCATGAGCGAGGAGATTTCCACCTTGGTGTCAACCTTAATTAAAATAATTGTACCCTTCAAAATAAAAACTCCACCTTTGCAATGCTTGTAACTACTCATGTGTCACCATTCTGCAAAGCTCTCATTTTGGTTTAATGCCAGCTTGTTTGGTATTAATATTGATGTGGCTCTGCATTTAATGAAGTATACATACAGAACAGGACCCTGTTCTAGTGATATATGTGTCCTGATAATAAAGTATTAGTGGTTATGATCAGTGAGATCCGGATTATAAACAATTATTATGTTATCTCTATTTTTGAGTGACAGAGGACACACCACCTACATGTTTTTTTTTTTTTGTCAAGCTATTGTACTACACCAATGAAGCAGTCAGAACCATTCCTTTGTCACAGACAGTTTTCACCCATTACATCTAAATAATTTTTTTTAAGTCTGCAGTCTATATATATATATATGTGTGTGTGTGTGTATAAAAATATATATACTGTATGTATATATATACTGTATACTGTACATATATAATGTCTAATATAAATGGCATTAATAACACTGTTACACTCTTTGATAATGTGCAATGTAATTAGTTACCTTTCCAATTATAACTTATTTGGAATAATTATATTTGATTATTTGCTGAGCCAATGCAAGGCGTTTTATGCAACGTGAGGTTGTTGGCCATGTGGTTTTGGAGGTAGATTAGAGTTGGAAGGGAACACTCATCAGCAAATCAGGTGTGTCTCATCACATCAGATGAGACACCTGGTGATTGTGAGTCCTACAATATGACAATTACTGGTCCCACTGGTCCCAAAGTCCCAAATGCATTTCTCAGAATCTGCCCCAAATGCATCCTGGGCATTGAGATGACATATTAAGCTTCTGCAGTGTAATAATAAATAATTATTTGCATATTGACTGTGCATTAGAGCAACGGATATATGGTGCCATTAAAATTTGAATCTGATAAATATTGCAAATGTATTAACGTAATTAGACAGATCTGATATGTCTATATTGTCATTCAATTATTTGTACCATAGTGGAACAATTAAACTATGTATGTACAG